CCCCAAAACCCCAAAACCCCAAAACCCCAAAACCCCAAAACCCCGCAATAAAAATATTAAATTGAAAGTATAATATTTCATATTCCTAATGCTTCTTCAACATAATTCCAATCATGATTTAATCCCTAAAGAGTATGCTCTTCCCTCACCATACAGAACCCCCAACAACCTTCCTCCCTCCAATCTCCTCTCTTACCCATCCAAAAGCTTCGAAATCGAAAACCATGCCCTCCACCCCAACATCTCCTCCCCTTCAAAACCCCTCTTCTCCAAAACCAAAGGAATCTGTCTAGGTTTGCTCTCCAAGCTCATCTACATTATCTGCTTGGCCTCACTGAAGCATTGATATCTGAGCTACGAACAGATTAATGGATTTGATTTTATCCTATTCAGAGCTTTCTTATCAATCATCAGTAAGACCTAAACTCTATAAATTTTAGGTTCAGGGATAGAAGCACGATATTCCAAAGTTAATGTGTTTTATGTGCCCGAAGGGATCAGAATTTGTGTGATAGTCAGGTTCATATCTGGCATTATTGGGTTTCCATGATTTTTTATCGCAATGAAATACTTGCCGACTAGCCAGTGACATATTACTGTGAGTATTTATCCATTGCTGAATGCTATTTTCGCTTATTTGTTTTTAAAAGAGATACTTCATATCAGAGATATCTGACTCTTGTTCGGAGCCTTTGTGGGAGCTTATATTATTAATTCAACTGAATCAACAAGAGAAGGAGAAGGTTTCAGTGAGGAAGTATATAAGTTTGGCATTATGCTGTTGATTGTGGCTTTGATATTTTAGATCAACAGGGCTAGTCACCATGAGAATCATTTCCAAATCTGCAAACTCAGTATACTCTCTATTTTATTATGCCTTAGGAATGCTGACTAATGCTGTAACTCTCTTGCTCTTCTTCAGAGATCATCTAAATTTCCAACACTATACCATTGGAGTCATCTTCTTCTTGTCAGTTGCATCTATTTTTGACTATTGCTCTCAATCTATGCTTAGTTATGCATCTAAATTTGAGAAGGCTACTGTATTGGCACCTTTAAGCTATGTAACAGCATGTCTGATTCTGATCAACGACTTAGTGTTGTTCCACTATGAATTCGAACCAATGTACTTTCTGGGATTTGTAATAATCTTTATCTGTGTTCTAGTTCCCATTGTGTATAAAATATACCAATAAGAAATTTCAGTGTTGAGTTGCAAGCTTGGGGTTTTGGGGTTTTGGGGTTTTGGGGTTTTGGGG